TCTACTGGAGCTTTAAACTATTTTGTATTATGGATCACTACACAATGATTTGATAAATCATTATCAAATAAATAAAGTTTTCCTTTAAAAAAATTAAATTCAAATGTTATGTTTATGTTTTTTAAAACACTATTTAACAGCACTATCTTTAAAATTCACCTTCTTTTAAAAGTTCAGAAAGATATAGGAATGCTACATTTCAACCATCTTTTCAGCATACTATATATATAAGGGATAGATATTATTAACCACTTATTAAATGAGAAAACAGAATCTAACGCTTTAAGGACAGCAACCTAACAACAATTCAATAGAATCTGGATCTCTGAGCACGCTGGCTTTCTCATTTCTATTTCTTCTACACTATATCCAATTTTATCTACATTTCTGTGTATTCCATTCCCCAAAATATAGCCCAAAACTTCAGGTTTCTTTTTCCAGGAATAATATATGTAAAAGCAATTACCACTTTGGTTTATGAACTACTAGCTCTGAATCCAGCCATCATGTCATAAATTATATATCAGATAATCTTAGTTTTGACATATATTTCAGAAAATTTGTTGACACTAAAAGAATAGACATTTATTACGAACATGCTTAATTTTGAAAAATGTTCCCAACTATTTCAACTGTCATATCCAATACATATATTTAAAATTATAACCCAAATTTTTCAGATTGAGGTATATCCAATTTGCTAGTTCCAATTACATACAACACAATAAAACATTTCAATGTAGCTATATAACCAATAGAGAGAAAGGAAAAAAAATTGCTCTTACCTGGTAGTTTCTTTTCTCAGATAATGTATGTCCATCAGTCCTCACCATAGAGTCGTGTCCTTTCCTCACAGTACTGGAGGCAATCAAATAGAACTGTCACTCAAGGGTCGTGTCACAGGAAGGACCGCCCACCAGTTCTCCCTCTAGAGTGGAATTATCCAAAAGCCGTTAAAATTACTAACACGTAAATATAAAAACAGTAGCAAAAATATCCAATATGATACATAGAAAATAAGAAAGAAAACAAAATCAAAAAGTATTTGTTTTATACTCTAACCAATCTTCTTAATTTTTTAGGGAGGACTAGACTGGCAAACATACTTTCTTTGAGATAGAAATTGTTAAATACAAAAAACTCTTCCCTCCCACATCTACTTTCTCCAATTAAAACTGTTTGCCAGATGTCGCACATAAGGAAGAAACATATATAATGAATATAAATGAAATCAACAAAAAAGTTCACCCCTCAACTGACATATTTTTTCTTTTAAATAAATATTCTCCAGTTAGTTTCAGAAATATTCAATTAATACAGATTCATTCACTTAAATACAAATCCTTCCCATCCACATGCTTATGTATATGGATGACAGATATGAGCATAAATTATTTATATAGCTACAGATTCATTCCATTTATGAAGTTTATTCCTATGCCATAAAATGGAAATATATCATATATTTTAAGATGATTAACAGATGTAAATCTAACTCAATATTCTATTAAACATACTCCAAAGAAGAGGAGCAACAAATGCCAACTTTCACTGATACCCTTGTCCTTCAGTCATCCAATTTCACGCATACTCCAATAGACAATTCACTTTCTCACGTTGGGCAAAAAATTAACGAGGCTCATTTCTTAAACTGGACAGCAATAAGTAAGTCCAAAATGACTAGGCACTGTGCACCTTAGCTACAAAAATCATTGATGTAGAGGTGAAAGTCAACAGAAATGCTACCTCAAAATGCATACTGAAAATTAAAGTTCAAAGATTCAAAGGTGACGCCTACAAAGAATTTGTAAGTATATATTTTCAAGACAAATATCTCTCAACTAAGTTTTAGGAGAACATTTACTCTAAGGAAGTACTGTGTGTACCTAGTGAACTAATAATGTTGCTAGCAACTAAAAATTATATTAAAATTTAGAGCAATTATTTACTATCACATGATATATACTTTGGGAGAGCATAACAAAAACATCTGATTTATAATTCATGAGAGTGAATCAGTATTATTAAATCCAACAAATACACATGTACATAAACATATGGATTACCTCTAAAATGCAATCTATTATGATGGGCAGAAAACATTTTTAAGGAAAACAAATCATTAAAAACTAATATTACTGGATTTAAGTTTTTAAAAGAATCCATGTGACAAAAACCTATCTATTGGCAACTGTTTTACACGTTTGATGACAAAGTTAGTGGAAGCTATATTTTTACTTAATTTTGGCCATCTTATATTGTATGTTTGCCTGAAATACTTTACCATGCCTGGCTCTATGGCAAAACTGTAATTGCTCATTACCAAATATATATGTACCTTTGGAATTAAGTATGCCTCTCTCAAAAATAACAAAGGAGAAATAAATATATTCACTACTATAAAGATAATCCTTATCATTTTGCAAGAAATTAGGTTATTTATAAGGAAAAATTACCAAGTGAATTGGATATCCAATCAGAATAGACCACATTTGGCTCAACTTAAATTTTCATGACTGTCACAAAAACAGAGCAAAAATATTTTATTATGTATCCCCAAAATAACATTAACCTTATTTTAATACTATTGTTTTATAATATTAATAAGTTTTAAAATAGTACTTGCCTTACCATTAATACATTCATGATTGACTCTCAATTCAATGAATAGTGGAAAATTTCAGTCACTTCTTATAGGATAAAATGCTTTCCAACTTAAGTAAATTATGTTTAAGTCCATGTATTACCTTCAAATTATACTAGTTTCATCAAAAGATATATTAGAAGTCTGAAGTCAAACTAATTTTCAGCATCTTAATGCTGTACACATCTTTAACAATATAAACTGACTATACAAAAAAAGGACAATTAGGACTGATTTTTATATGCTCATATCTGAAGAATAAAAACTAATATTTAACTGTAAAATTAGATTAAAAAAATATTCACTTTTGAGAACTATGGATTTTAGCATGACAGGAAAACTTGTTTATTATTTGTTTTGTTTCCCTCTTTTCGGGTACTTCGAAATATTTCATGGCCTAGGGTTTCAATCCTTAGCCATTATATACTGTAACCAATATAGGAGCCAATATTCTGTATTTAACTAAGAATCATTACCTCCTTTTAGTAAAGGGAAAAGGGACTGTAGGCTCTTTATTTCTTCTAAGTAAACATGAAAAGTTAACACTTGTCACCACTACTCTTCACTATACTGTATTAAATAAAAACATCCAGATGTGAACTGTGTTGACAATCTTCATATTGTCAATGAAAGGATGTACAACTTTTTTTTTTTAATAGATGTCCGGTAAGGGGATCTTGACCCTTGACTTGGTGTTGTCAGCACCACACTCTCCCAAGTGAGCTAACCGGCCATCCCTATATAGGGATCCGAACCCGTGGCCTTGGTGATATCAGCACCACACTGTCCCAAGTAAGCCATGCGCCGGGCCCTAGAATGTACAATTTTTGAAGAGAATGTGAATATATATGTGAGACAGAGAGTATGTGAAAAGAAACAAGCATGAGGCAACATGCACTCAAACTAAGTTTATTTTAGGGTTTGTACACTGTTTTCCCACAAAGTCCTAAAAGACAAATATCTGCAAAACTACAATGAGGATTTTTATAAAGCAGGGATGTATTCCGTGATGGAAAAACAGACAACATTAAATAACCGTTCTACCTTAAATAATGAGAGAATTAAACAAAATACTTAAAACAATAGTTTTAAGACATTAAACAACAATCATCTCAGGACCGTGATCATCAAGAAAAAGGAACATGAAGTGAGTCCTACCAGTGCCCCAGCTCACTACTGCCTGTAGATTTTTGAGGCTGAAGCACAGGGAGGGGAAAGTGGAACCCAATCAGAGCTGAGTTAAAACAATGGTCTAAAAGAGTTCCAAGTTAGGAGAGAAACAAAGGCAGCTAGAATTTGCAGGGCAGGGAGAAGGAAGCTGCAGACATAAAGAGCATCAAGATAGAGAGAGCTATCCCCTTAAGGCTTTAGTTGAGTAATAATCTGTGCAAGCATGTGAAAAAACTACTGAGTCTGGAGAAAAAGCCTTTGAAGAAGAGTCGTCAAAACAATTCTCAGAGCTCATGTTAACACCAACCAGAGCAGAAGTACATCTTAACATAACTTATGAAGTACAGTCCAGAAAATAATGAACGCCTCAGCAATGAAATCAAATAAGCTTTAGACCAAAAGATGTTCTAGACTGGCACTAACAAAGCTTAAAGCCAAGTCACAAAAGGATCAAACTGATTCTAAGCAGCATAACTATATACCAAAATAAAGCTCAATAATATGTAAAATAACACAACAAACTCCAGCATCAAATAATGTAAAATTAAATGTCTGGTATACAATCCGAAGATACCAGCCATGCAAAGAAGCAGGTGAAACATAATAAAATAGAAATAGACCTAGAAATGATAGCAATAACAAAATTAGTAGAAAAGGATGTTAAAACAGGTATTGTAAACATATTCCTTACATTGAAGAAGATAAAGAATGAACATAATGATAATAATGCAAAGTATAAAAAAGACCCAAATTGGCAGCACAAAGGAGTTTCTTTATGGTGACAGAAAGTTCCTTATCTTCCTATTGGTGGTAGTTATACAACATGTGATAAAATACCATACAATAATAGAGAAAGCCATAAAAAAAGTGAATACATGAAAAAATTGGTTAAATCTGAGTTAGATTTCCTGTCTAATTAGTTATATTGTGCCAATTAATTTCTGGTTTCTGTGACGCACTGTAGTTCTTCTTCCTGTCAAGATGGCAGAATAGACGGTCCCCAGCATCACAGTCTCCCACAAATCAACCAATTTACAACTACAAAAAAGCAACAACAGCAAAGCTGGGGCCACTAGAGCTCAGGGAAAGAGGAGGAGAGACCTAAGGAGTGCATGGAGACAGGAGAAGCCATGATGAGAGAAAGAAAAAACTGCTCTGACCATTTCGAGCCCCGAAGGGTCCACAGTGGAGCTGCTGAGCACACAAAGCAAGAGCCGGCAAAAGCTGCAGCCGCACCCTTCGGATGAAGTTGCTTGGAGGCAGCAGCGGAGATGAGGGCCATGGTGGCCCCCAGGCCAGCAAGACCACTAACAGGGTTCCCGTGGACCCACAAAGAAGTGAGGAGCCACAACAACTGAAAAAAAGGAGCCACTCAGAGGCCAGTGAATCATCGCAAGGGACTGGCGCATGGCCAGTCCCATGGGAAGTGTTTGCCGCACAGGTGGTAGGGAAGACGGGCCCACCAGAACGCTGGCGCACAAGGACACCTGATCTGCACGCCAATCAGAGAAGGACCACTCGGAGGAGACCGGTCAGGAATACAGAACTGCATGAGGTGCAGTTTGATGAAAAGACACAGACCCAGGTGCACCAGCTCTCTCGAGAGCCAGAAGTACCTATAAAGTCAACCATTAATACCTGAGCTGCACAAAAGCCTTCCCTAGGGAATCAGCAGTAAAGCAGCAATTTAGCTCAACCACAGGGCTGAATTACTGGTCCCCACAGGAAGTTTCCCCATTTTAGAAGTAAGCAAAGGACAAAAAATTAGTTC